CTCTTTGTACAGCTCCACACAATGGACTAGGAAATAGACAAATGTACAGAATTCCAGTCTGCTTTATAGAATCTGAAAGCTCACAGCCAACTGTAACAGCAATAGAATATTAAAAAACTGAGTGAAAAAGATATTAAAAGACAAAGTAGGGAACCAAATCTGTGACAATTATGGAGATGCAAACTGAAGAGAGAATGTTTCTTGTTCAGACTAGAAAGCTGAAAAAAATTGCTATTAGACAATTATGCTGGCAGTTATTTTACCATATTCAGGATTTAGTAAACTTAACCTGCTTTAGGCAAAAGTCCTTCTAATATATCAGAAATTATTCAGTTACAATTTACCCATTATATTTCACCCTATCTTTGTAATTTCCATCACAGTGTCATCCATTAACCTAATTGTACAACCACTGACAATTCACTTCTATGTAATAGTTAAAGACCAGGAAGATCATGTTCTTTCTCCATAGTCACAGAAATTAATAGCACTACCCTATTCTCTGCATTTTTGAAGAAGAAAAAAAATTGTAATTTACTTTCTAGATCTCTGTTTCTTTTCTTCTACATAGAGGTTTTCCCTTGATGTTCTCTCCTCTTGGAGAGGTATTAGTTTTTAGTTACTATCTGCAATAGAAGTATTTATAAAAAGTACACATACTCACTAAAAAATACACTCTAAAAATGAAGTTTCTATGATCGTTTAGTCTATAATTTCTTTCACCCTTAGGAATGTTTCTGTTACTGTCTTTATCTACTGTCAGGTCTTCCATATTAATTACCTCTTCAATCCAGCAGTCTAAGATATGAAATTCTAGTGTTCAAGGGTGTAGTACTCTAGCAAGAAGAGTACCTGAGCATGCCATAAGCATGTCCATGCAACTCCAGGGATCAAAAAAAAAAAAAATCAATCTTACCATTTCAGGCTTATTCAGCTATTCTTTTAAAAAGTAACAATTTTCTGGAAATTATTTTACTGTATGATGGCATTCAGTCTATCTAAAAAATCAACTGAGAGTGAGTTGAATATGCAATTATTTTTTTCTATAACAGAAGTTAGAAAGCTCCAGTTGACAGGCAACTATTTTATAGTCTAATACTGTTTTTTGCAAACTGAGTGTTATATATATTTTTCTCTGCTCATTGAGTGCAGTTTCCTGCAACTAAATAACTGAGCTTAATTTCTCAATGTCAAACCATTGCTGTTACCTACATTTCATACCAGCTATCAAATAAGACATTTTGTTTTGCAGAAACTGTGTACAATATTTTACTGAAAGAGCAAGTTTTATATTCTTACTACAAATGAATACATATATATTAATATATACATATTAAAAATAACTATACTCCCTTTAGTCAACATTTGTTAATTAGGAAATGACATTTTTGATAACATTTTTTTTCTCTCTGACACATGATATTTAGTCTTTTTTGCTAGCGATCATTACTCCAAGAAATGCTTTTCCCCCTAGTAATTTACATGTGTTGGTATGGTGAAGTTCACATTTATTGGTTATTCTAAGGGGATGAAGTCTCTACAAACCACTCTCAAGTTCTTACAGCCCAAGAACCATGTTCAGAAATAAGAGATTTTAGGATCATTTCACTTCCATAAACAAATCTTGTAAGGCAATTCCATAATACAACATCCTAATCCATAATTACTAAAATCTAAAGATGATCTACAAAACACAGAGAAATAAGTCTTTAAATCATTTGCACTAAGGTCTGGTTTATTATATGTCTCCTTATGTGATAAGTAAACAACCTAAGAACTAAAAGCTACTGAATTAACATTACTAGTACTTTAAGATTTGAAATATTAAATTGGACACTGATCTCAGAATAATTCAGATTTCCCATTTGTTCTTATGCAGATTTTCAGTAGCATTTCCATAATTTATTATCATTAACAATGATTTTATTATTAAGTTGCAGAATTTTTCTAAATAGTAGATATTATCAGAAATATTAAAAAGGAGTTTTCTTTTACATAGGGAGTTTTAAGTTGGGAGATTGCATCTGCACCCGAATTACATTCAGTAATTGTACAAATTCCCTTTAAGTTCTGAACCTGAAGCATATGGAAGATTGCATCAGGAGATCAACCCTTTCAGATTACAATAGTTTATGATGGTCATCTGAGTTTTAATCAGATATAAAGGATTTATTCCTGAAATACATCAAGAAACACTATCCTCACCTCATTAAATGCATCAGAGAGTTTATAGACAATCAATTAAAATATGTCACACATTTTTGCTTTGTATATCTTCCTTTCTGGTGTATACAACAATACATGGATATAGGTGTCGACGATTTTATTAGCAACTGTATAGAAGCCTATCAAAATAGAAAGTAGAAAGTGATTTCATATATCAAATCCTCTTTGTTAAAGGTTTAACTCCTGAGCTCAACAAAAAGATGAATTTATGTTTACAATAGATACAGAGTATTATTTTATGCAAAATGCAGTGCAATGCAATACTGTCAGATACATAAAACAGATCATGTATAGTCAGAGACTAGGAAGACTGCATGATTTGAAGTTAAAAAGACTTGTCATATTTCTTCTTTTAACCAGAGAGAGGATGAATTGGAATAGTTTCGTCAGGCACAAAGACTGAATAGCAAAATTCATCACCTGAATAAGTATGTCTCATATTCCTGACAATTAAGTACCAGACTAATATTGCCAAAATATTCTTATACTGACAATTATTTCAGGAAAATTGTTTTCTCTGTTGAATTATAATAACTTTTTTTTATTCATACAGTAATAGTAAATCAAGTGTAAGTGAAATTCAATGGACCAGAAACAACTGCTTGTCAGTAGATTGCTGAGAGTGACTTATTTAATTCAATTACTGGAGAAAATAAATTTTTAACAATACTAAGAATGTATTTACAAACCATGTTATCTGAAGAATGAGCTAGTACTAATAGACAGGAAAGGTTTCAAAAAAATAAAATAGAGCAGAAACGTCTCCATCACCTCATTAAAAAATTCCCTGCATTGGTGGCCACAACCACTAGAGGCTGAATAACTCATGATACTTATTAACAATAAATATATGTTTGGTTCCTAAGTGATCCTTACCTTTTCTTCATGCAATAAATTATTTTTCACATTTTAACTTATTCTCTTTATCTGAACCATAAATGTACCTAATGACATCTTATTAGCTTATGGGCTCAGTTTTCACAGAAGTTATTAACATGTGCTTCAAAAAGGTATAAAGGTATAGTGTAATAATCAATTTACAGTAATCTGGATGGACTAACTAGCATCATCATAATATCAGAACTGTGGTTACAATTTCCTAATAGTTTGGTACAGTAGGGGTATTTTTTTTTTCTCCAGAGACTTTTCTGTCTTTCAATTTATTGATGCTAATATTAATACACAATTAGTACTTTTATTATTCTAAGGTTTAGTGTTTCATTATGATGATTTTTACTTTGTTTATGAGATTCAGACAAAAGCTTATTTGGTCACATTCCCTAAAGTTTCAAGTATGAATTCTATTTCCAGAAAGTATTTATTACAGACACAATAGAATCATATAAGAGTTTGGACTGGAAAGGACCTTAAGAAACTTTCTAGTCCAGCCCATGTGCCATGGGCAGGGACATCTTTCACTAAATCTGACTGCATAAAGCCTCCTCCAACCTGACCTTGAACACTTCCAGGGACGGGACATCTACAACTTCTCTGGCAACCTGTTTCACTGTATCACTACCCATATCATAAGAAATTTCTTCAGTATACCCAAACTAAACCTATCCTCTTTCAGTGAAAAATCATTTTCCCTTGTCCTACCGGTACAGGAGTTGGTTAAATACTTTCTGCACCTTTCTTATAATCATCCCTTCATATATTGAAAGGCTACAATAACATCCCCCTTAAGGTTTTTCTTCTACAGGCAGAACCACCCCACCTCTCTTAGCCTGTCTTCATAGGACAGGAGTTCCAGTACTCTGATTGTTTTTGTAGCCCTACTCTGGACCCTCTCTAAAACATCTTTGACTTTCTTGTTCTGGGGAACCCAGTACAAGGGAAAGTCTTCTTTTAATAAGCAATAATCCCTGGAATATGTAACCAGCATTGAAAACACTTCTTACTGCTCTCATCAGATGCAAAAATGGTAATTTTTAAATTATTCATAAACTTTCTTTCTCCTTGAGGCAATATCTGACCCACAAATATGTAAAGGATGAAAAATGTCTCTCTTAGAGATAAAAGAAATACTGATTTACGCAGCATTAATTTAGTTCCGTTAAATTAATGTTTTAAGTAAGCATTTTACATATTATATCTAGTGCAAAGGACTGATCAAATAGATATGCTTTCTCTAACCTGTCTAGCAAAATAGTAAAATAGGTATACTTGATGAAACTGGTTTTACTGAGGCTTATTTCACAAAAGACATTCAGCATCATGTAAATGACCAAGCTTTGACAAGACAGCTTTGTTGGCCTTGTGCTTAATTAACTCTTTCTATGTCACTTGATTATTTCAGTTAAGGTTGCCCAGTTTTTTTTTCTGCTTTAGAAAAAAACCCCAACCAAACAACTAAAATCCCCAAATAAACAAAAAAAAAATAAAGGAGAACTACATGTGCTTAAGTTGTAAATCCACAAATGAAGCAGATATTTTAGACCCCTTTTCATTTGCCATCCTGTCACATCTGGATTTGAAAACTTTAATTCTTGCTTTAATGAAATCAAGTTATAAAGAGAACAATTTATTTGCTTTATTCCACTTCTCTATTTCCTCTATATAGAGGTTTTGTTGGTGTTTTTTTTTTTAACTTATGACTTTGAAACTACCAGGAACAAATTACACAAAGCAATACATTTTGAAAAAGATTTCAGAACCCCTCTCATTGAAGATATCAGTCATTGTAATACATAATTTTAATAACAATACCTACTAAATACATAGGTTTCTGTTTTCTTATAGTGATTTGCTCTAATGTTTAATATTTCACTTACCTTTTAATCTTGCCAAATCTAACAGCTATTTGAAGGGCTTGACAAGTAAGCGTCAAGGTCACACAATGAAATCCAAGCTACAGCTGTTTCACTAAAAAGAGTCTGCAGAGAAAAAAGAAATTTATGTAAATCTTTCAAAATACTTTCCCCCCTCTTTCTTTTTACACAATGGTTCATATTACAAAATCATTTTATTGTGTACAAAATAGCTAAACTTGGTCAAGATAACATTCCTTCTCTGATGTTAACATGGGTTGATCCATACACTGTGAATGAGTAATTCATGAGGAGAAAAACTTTTCAGAGAGCGAATGGATATTCTAGGGACAGAACTACATAATTTGCATTCCTTACATGTAGTGACTGTTCTGGGAGAATTCATACACATAGACTCATTGCCTCAGTGGAGCAGTGACATTTCCATATGCAAAAGCACAAGGCAAAATTTCAATGATCTTTTTTTCAAACTAGAATAGAGAAAAACAATAGTTGTATATTATTTCTTATTTCTAATCTATGTAATATAGTGTTTTAGTGGTCTAGATGACACTTGCAAACACTTGCATGCAGTCCATTTTCAATGATAAGAGAATGATAGAATTATGATCTGAATTATAAATGGTTTTGGTTGGAAGGGGCTTTTAAAAATCGTCTAGTTATTTCTTGGCAAATTGCTAATTTTTAATTTCTTTTCAAGAATAGAAGTGAAATTTGAGGTTGTTTTTGTGAACAAAAAATGCTTTTGCTCTATAGCAGGGAAGGACCTAGATTTTGGAATGACACAGTAATCACAGAAAGTTATGAATTAAGCTGCCTTTAATGGCTTCTCATCTCTTAGCAGTTGCCTTTCCAGTAAAACAAGTTTCCTTAAGTTAAATAGTCATGCAAACATACCATACATACAACCACACAGAAACCATGAAACACCACTGTCTTCTCTTTAATAAATGTTTTCTAAATTGCAAGGTTTGAAAACTTTTTTGTTGAAAAATGGGAGCATAATGCATAAAATGATCTCATTCCATAAGATGACAACCAATTCAGGGAGAAATGTATTTATTTTCTATCAGCTCAAATCAAGCAAAAATGTTTAGCTGAAATATTACAGCTCAGGCTGCTACCCCCAGTCATAGAACACATCAAGTTTTAATTTTCTTTTTGGGAACTCTTTATACTGACAAACCTGAATTTTTAGTAGATATAAAAATGTACTTCTAAATGTATATCGAAACCATTCCTGTAAATAGGATTTTTAGAGGAAATGTCGCTTCAGAAATTTTTTTTTTGTGAGACAAATATATACCATTCAAACAATAAAGCAAAATCCATAGAGAGAAGTGCTATAACAAAATTTACTGAATGGTCTAGGACTACAGTCAGTCTATTGTGTTCTCTGTGACAGAGTGCTCTAGGTTGACATTTAAAGTCTAGTTAGGATTTTTGTTATACTTAGTAAGAGACAACTTTAGAAAAAAGTCTCAGAGCTTGTTAAAGATGTTTAAGAGATAATGTATAAATTCCAAGTTTCTCAATGAAGACAAAGTCAAAATAAAACCAGCATGGGAGTGTCTCAAAAAAAACTTTATATGTACCAGTACTAATTCAAGCTTATTCATAAAAGAAAGGTTTCCCCTCTAGAACAATCAATTATATATAAGTTCAAGATTTATCACTGAAAAAAGCTATGATTCTTTCTGCATGAAGTTGCATTAAAATCAGAACTCTCCATGTTCTTAAACATATCTCTCTCTGTATGTATGTCTGCATAGAAAAAAAAGTAACAGGTCAGCTTAGGTAAACTGTCTATGTGTCACTTTATCTTCTCAAACTTTAAGGATAATAAATAACTCTATATTCTTTGACTTATAGTATGAAGCTTCCAATGAAAGGATTCAAAGGTTGGGTTTGGGGTTTTTTTAGACACTTAGGAAAACATTTGTATTAGAAATTCACACTATATACAGTATTTATTGGATATGCAAAAAAAGACACATGGTAATATCTTGAAGCAACTCAGAAGTTATAACCAATAGACAAACTAAAAACCGCTGAAAACTACCTTACCACTTTCTTTGTAGTTGAATATTGTGAGTAAAAGATTAGTACTTATAAAGTCAGAGATTACATTGAAGAAAAGTCTTTGAAAATCTCAGGCTGACTCTACTACTGGCTGTAAAAACTTTTGGGAGTCTAAGGAAAGAAAATATATGTTGGAATGAAAAGAATCGTATGTGTGAAGTACAGCCACAGATCGATTGACATTATGAAAATGTTTTCTCTCTAGAAAAAATTGGTAGGTAAAAATAGAGTTTCTGGAAATAGGTTTGTTCAGACTACATGTAAGTTTAGGGAAATACATAACGCAGCACCTACTAGGCCAAGTACTCTTGCAAGAGATGTACAATATTAACAACTTAACCAGAACTGCAGAGAGGATAATGCTAATATTGATGTTCTTTGTTTAGTAATATATAGCTGTCGATCATATGTTAAAAAATTCTAGTTATCCAATACTGAATGATCATCTAAAAATACGATGTTTGATACTAAAATGGTATTCAGAAATAAGCAAGTCAAAGAAGAAAACAGGGACTGTTTAAAGCAATATGCGCACATCACTAGAAGGTTTTTTCTTGCTGTCACTGAACCACTGCTCATCTGGAGACATGATTGCCAGCCACCTGGTTCAGAAATATAGAGACATATGGTACAGTTATTAGTACTGACCCAAAGTTATTGCAGTAAACATATCCCAAATTTGAAAAAAAAGATAAATATTCATTAAAAAGGTAAATAAATATGTTCTATTATAAATTATATTCTATAAATACAAATGTTTTCAGCACCAAATCAAAACCTTCTGAATGCTAAGAGTTCACTATAATTTTGGGAGTTAAGCGTAATATATCTATGAATTTCAGTGATATCCAATAAAATTAAAAGGAAAGGAGAACAGCAAAATGAAAATATAACATCATGCTGATTAGCATTCAAATACAAAATTGGCTAAGGTCTGAATTAGCATAGCCACTTTGCAAATGCAGCTATAAATCTTAATGTGGTCTTCAGTAACAAGCCAAAATCAACGAATGTATTAGAAATGAAATGGTAGACATTGCAATCCTACTGATCAGAAAAGAAAAACCTGGAACTAAATAACGGTTAAAAAACCCCAAACAACTCAGCAGTCTCTTATAACTTATTCCATTCAAAAACCTCATTCCACATTTGTCATTCAGTGTATGAGTGCATTTTACAATAAAAGTTCCCGCAAACAAACAATTTTATTGGAAATGCTTGCAACCTCTGAGAAATCAGTCATTTAAGACTACACATGAATATTATGAGATATATCTTAAACTAAGGTAATGAAAATCACCCAAGATGACATCTCATGTAGTGGAGTGTCTACAGTATCCAGAGAAAGGACAATATTTTTGACATGAATGTTTCCAGTAGAACTAATTGCACTTTAAATGAAATTTCTTGTGTCAATTACAAGTCTCCAAAGAATTCACTATGAAAATAAAAGCTACTTTCAAAATCAAAATACCATAAAAAATTCAGGCATTGATTTGTTGTGGAAAGCTTTGTAACTCATTTTTGAATCATTATTAATAAAATTTTGCAATCAAATCTATTTACTGTTGAAAAAAATGTTATAATTAAAACTCTTCATAGTGTCGTTATCCCATAAGTTTCTTGTATGTTAAAGTACAACTAGAAACCTTAAAAAACTGAGCTCTAAGGTGTTTCAAAGTGAATGAGTTATGCTCTAGTGGAGTATTTATTTTTATGTAAGTATGCAAGCCCAATTAGTTTACGGTATAACCAGTATTCTGCTCTTAAACAGTATTTATATTACGCTTCTACTTGGTTTTGATTTCTATACTTCAAGAAGTAAAATTTTTTTGATTCCTACCAAAAATTTTAGTTACAAGGAGACATGGAAGGTTACAATATGGGATGCGAATTTCCTAATGAGTGGTAGAAACTGAAAAATCCTGTTAAAAATATTACAATCAATTAATTTCTTCAGGAAATCAAAGCTGAAGACAAATGGAACAGTGACCACAAGAAGCGCTGTCTCCAAGGGTCAAATAACGGAAAAGATATGTGCTAACACTCTACTTGTTGACTTTCATGCTAAATGTCCGAAAATTAAGATTATAAGGTGACAGTTATGGACAAAAATCTTTAGAAAAAACTGAAAGATGCTATTATATTATGTGTTATATGTAATTGTAATAAGTTTTTGGCTAACAGCAGTTCCTGATACTGCAAAGAACACCTAGTTTTACAGATAATATCTTCAACTGTGCTTTAATAATGTAGTTAACTAGTCTGAGAAAATGATAAGTAAAATTATGCATCAAGGGGAAGAAAAGTATAAATGTGATCAGTCTAGGCAGTGTAGATAAAATACAGTAAAGATTATGAGCCAACTGCAGGTTTCAAGATATTTGTTTGTAATTATTTGATTTTGGTCCAAATGAAATGAAGCATTATTTTCCTCTCAAACTTCCCATGATGAAAAATATCCTAACTTTTTCCAGTTTCTCCTTCTTCTAGATCTTCCCAAAATACAGGTTTTCCAGGTTAAAGCATAGATCTGCAGCAAGAACCATTGCAAGGATTACCATTCTTCCTTCTGTATAGATCGTTGCCAGCTCAAGTTGCAAAAGCAATCATACCAAACAGTAAGGCATGAACACACGATGGGAGGGTGTAGAAGAGCTAGGCAGACTCTTCTCAGGAGAACCCAAGAGGAATTAGACACAAACTGAATCCATTTAAGTGTGAGAAGAGACTTAATTGTGAGAGTGGTCAAACACTGGAACAGGTTGCCCAGAGAGCTTGTGATGGAGTTACTTGGAGATACTTAAAGCCATGAAGAACCTGCTCTCTAGCTGACTCTGACATGAGCAGTGGGGTTGGACTAGATGATGTCCAAAGATTACTGCCAACCTCAGCTATTCTGTGATTTCATGAAACAGACCTAGAAGCTCTATAACATGGCCAAGTCATCCAAACTGTGGACCTTGTATCCCAGGTTATTATGCTCCCAGGGAGGCAGTTACAATATGCCGCTATTAGGATTC